GGGTTTCATGTCCTGCAGCCTGGGGAAAGGGCTCGGGTCCCTGGGCTGTCACAGGACCTGGACGGGACCCTCTTTTCATCCCGGAGCAACTCTGAAATAACCAAGGCTGGCGGGAAGAGCCGGGAATGGAGATGTCGTCCCTCCCGGCATATCCCCGTGGAGAAAGGCCACGCATCTCCACGCACTGGGTGAGCTCGGTGCAGGGAGCTGTGGGTTTGGGATCCCCGGGGTGCTGGGGGTGCAGGCAGAGCTGGTAAAATTGCCCCTGCCTCGGGACAACCTCAAGTCCTGTCCGTAAAACTGATGTGCCACGCTCTGCCCTTCCCGGGGCCGTGGGGCCAAGAGACCTACAGGTTCCTACAGCTCCATCCCACGGGTGAGCGGAAAGAGCAGGCCTGCAGCCCACCGGGCACAGTGGACCTCTCGGGACACCCCAGACAGTCAGGAGTGAGGGGACTGTGGAGACGTGGCAGTGCAGGAGAGGCACAAGGCAGTTCCCAAGCCCTGCTGTGGCTGTCCTGATCTGTGTTGCCCCTGGCTGGAAGATGGCAAGGGCTTGGTGGTATCAGACAGGTGTTGCACGGTCAAGTTTGGGGCATGAGGACAAAATGTTTGGGCTACTTCTCTCCTTGAGGGTCTGCCTGCACCCACTGCCTCCTGTGACACCTGGACCTCTTGCTTCCCCCTCCCTTCTTCCTCCTTTTCTGACTCTGCACATCACCCAGCCGAGACGGGACAGCTGGGCAAGGCAGTGGTTAAGACACTCTCTGAGCAGCATCCTTCTGTCTCCTTTCCCCGTGAGTGCTGGGGATGAACTTGGCAGATGAGGGATCAAAACCTGACCTTGCTACGTGAGTCAGTCAGTCTCGTCTGGTGCTTGGCCCTGTGATATTCCCTGTGTGTCCTTCCTGCCCCAGTGGCCCCTTTCCAAAAGGAAAGACCCCTCAGCAGTCCCCAACTGGCTCAGCAGGGCTCTGCAGTCTCTCCAGCCCTTGCTTCCCTTCCTGCCTACATTTACCAGAGTTGTTTTGAAAAGTCATTGTGAAAGGAGAGACAGAAACAGCCCAAAGTGGGCTTACCAAGCAGTCTGGCATTCTCTTAAACAGGGCACTGGCACCGGAGTCAACGAGGCTCCGTAGAGGCGTGTGCGTGTGCTCCTTGTGCCTTTTCAGCGGCATGGGTTTGAGCCAGCTGGCTGGCAGTGCGATGGGAGGAACACCAGCGCCGGGCGTCGAAGTGCTGTTGTGGCAGTAGTGTTCTTACCCTTGACATCCTTGTTTGCCAGCGCATTCCCACCATCTCTCTGGTGCTTCATGGCACAAGCACCAATATAAAAAGAAACATGTCTCCTCACGCTCCTGTTTCGGGGCTGAGCAGAGGCAGGCAGGGACAGTTTTTCTCTCTTGTGATCGGGTCGATGAGGCAGTGGCGCAGCCCACTGCGCTCCACAGTTCCCTGAAACCTGGGCAGCAGTATGCCAGCACCTGGGGGACAAACACATTTTATCCTGTGGGACCAGAGCTGCTGGACTCCTTCTGAGGAGCGGCTAGGAGATTTTCTGGGATGCAAGTTCAGTAGCACATCCTCAGTGAGGCACAATCTCGCAGCGACGCTGTCCCAGAGGGTGCACACGATCAGGAGAGTGTGTGCACACATGTGCCTGTGTCCTTTATGGACTGAGTTTGTCAGCCAGACCATTTGGGACTAATCCTCGGCCCTAAAAGGTACCTCATATATGTAAAGTAGCAAAGAGAATTCCCCCGTATGGTATAATTTTGTCTGAACAGCAGAAGAGTATCACAATGGATGGCTCCAACAAGACAGTATTAATATTCTCTGATACACGCCGGCCTCTGCTGCAGACCCTGTGCACCTTGCAAAGCCCAGTGGGGCTCTCAGTGCACTTGACAGTCATTATGCCACATCCACATGCAGAGATAATCCCTCCTTAGTTGGGCATTTTTCTAATTTAGTGAGAAATCATTACGGCAAATGTTCGGAGTGTCATTTTCAAGGAAAGTGAGTGTCATAACATGCCAATTTTCAACTTTCTCTCTCTAGCCATTTTGTCGGCAGGTTTCTGAAAGTTACTTAAGCATTTTAGCACCTAAAATGCCCAGTCTCTCCTGACTGTGACGGGAACCACATTTGCAAATCCACAAAGAGAGTTTGAATATTTTACAGAGTGTACTTTTTTGCCTGTATTTAAGTCTAGAAATTGAATTATTTCTGCCCTGGCGTGCAGAGAGGAGACCCTCTGGGTGCTATTGAGGCTTTCAGGACTGTGTCCCAGAGCAAAGGTAGATGTACTGGCAGGGGAAGGAAGACAGAGGAAGGTGCTGGTTTTCAGGGCTCCCCTTTTTACCCGTTGGCATTGCTGAGCACGCGTGTCCCACACCCCATCAAATCGCACATGCAGCTGCTCTCCCTTCACCAGTCCAGGCACAAAATGTGAATGTAAGAAATGCTGAATATCTGGAAAAAACCAAAGGTTTGGAATGAAGAAACTTTTCAACACTAAATATCTGTGCACTTGCAGCTATCGTAATATTAATTTGCATTATTTGGCTTTTATATTTACATCATTTTGATTTTTATCTCCAGACCTCACTTCATTCCACAAAAAGGCTATGTCAAACAGACGTACGGTTGAAAGCATGTATTGATATGTTAAGTGTTGTTGTTCTTAACCACAAAATCAATATTATTAACTCAGAGATTTCATAATTCATTTTATCTGCAGTTAACGTGTTTATGAGCTGGAACAGTGTCTGGAGCAAACAGACAGTTTCTGCTTTGAAACAGCATAGCATCAGGTGTAGCTGAGTGTTTGTTTCACTCTGGTTTATTTGGAATGGATCTTACCTATTAATTTACTGGGATAACAAGCTCCATTTTTAATCCTTAAGTTCCTAAGAGAGGCTATGAAATTTGGTTCTGTAATGATGATATAATTATGTCTGTGAATGTAATTACTTTAAAATATAGGTGGGTGTTAACTAAAGACCCTAAATAAAATGGTTTTGTATGATATTCCTAACGATTTGAAGACAGGTACATCAACAGCAGGTATCTCTCAATTATATTAATTTTGAAAGTGTTTTTACTATGAACACAAAGTACTCATTTATCAGGATGTAATTATGAGAGATCAGGAGATCTCCTAGGATACTGACACTGATGATGACAGCAAATGGCTGGGCCTGTTGCTCAACGTGGCTGCAGCTAGACAGGAGCAATTGCCTGCTGCTGGACAGTTGACTGCTCTGGAAGTACCCTATATACTCTATATATATACTGTATAACCCATATATACTCTAAAAAAATTTAAAAGCAAAACCAATAAAAACCTGAAAGAGGTAGTAGCAATATCATAACCAGGAAAAAAAAAATCTTAATTCTTAAGTTTGCTTTATCCCCTTTCTCTTTCTGCTGCAAATTTCTTAAATTTCCCTCTTGACATTTTCTGTTAGGTTTGTTCCCAACAAAGGACACATGAAAAAGAGTAGATTTTCATCATATGTTTATTACCAGTCTATATAGACCAAATCGTAGAAACACATCAAAAGAATCTCGGGATTGCCCCAAAACGTGCCTTGGAGACAGGCGCTCCTGTCAGACCTGTGTCTATTTTCTTCCTCAGCCTCAGCTTTCCAATTATTAAAAGTATTAGCAGCGGTCACAGACCACAAATACATTATTTTCGACACTCTGCAACCAGATGGGTGGTGGCTCCCATGCTTGAACATAGGTGTGTGCTAGCATTTTTGATCTTGGGTGGGAGTATCTGGTCTGGATTGGTCTCCAGTTGCTGCTCCAGAAAGACCTGGGTCGGCTGCAGGTGGGTGCTTTCTGCCAGTCTGGAAAGGATGTCATGTACCCTAGCATGTCTGAAACAGCACAAGGAACATATCCAGGCACATGAAATGTTTCTTGACAGGTGAATTTCTGTTTCTTGACACAAAGTTTCTGTTTCTTGAAGCACAAAGGGGCTGGGCAGGCAGGTACAGTCACAGAATCACAGAATGTTAGGGGTTGGAAGGGACCCCTGTCAGTCATCTAGTCCAACCTCCCTCTCAAAGCAGGGTCACTTGGAGCAGGTTGCACAGGACCATCTCCAGAAAAAAAAAATCCACAACATCTCTGGACAACCTGTTCCAGGGCTCCGTCACCCTCAGAGGGAAGAAGATCTTCCTTGTGTTCAGATAGAACTTCCTATGCCTCAGTTTTGTGCCCGTTGCCCCTTGTCCTGTCGCTGGGCACCACTGAAAAGAGTCTGTCCTTGTCCTCCTGACACCCACCCTTAAGTTATTTCTAAGCATTTCTAAGGTCCCCTCTCAGCCTTCTCTTCTTCAGACTGAACAAGCCCAGCTCCCTCAGCCTCTCCTTGTAGGAGAGATACTCCAGTACCCTCACCATCCTCATAGCCTTCCGCTGGACTCTCTCCAGTAGCTCCTCATCTTTTTGAAGTGGGGAGCCTAGCACTGGACAGAGTACTCCAGATGGGGCCTCACTGGAGCAGAGTAGAGGGGAGGAGAACCTCCCTCGACATACTGGCCACAGTCAGATTGCTGGAGACAACACATGGTAGCAGTGGCTGCCAGTGCAAATACATCTGGATGTAGGTTGATTTAAAAAGATATAAATATCCTGTATGGAGGACTAATTGCCTCTACTTGACTGGTCCTGGCCTGGGTAGTCTACAAAACTGTGCGAAGTCCTGGATCACACTTGTTTCTTTTAAGAAACGCCTTTCTAGTCAGTGCTGAGGTAAGTACCAAAGGATACCAGATGATCCATACGGACCTGCAAGGTGTGTGGTATGGGTGTTTGGGTGGTTTGCAATGTGCAAGGCAGAGCAGAAGAGTTAAGCAGAGAGCATAGTATGGTAAAATGTATATTTGTGTGTTGTTTGGGTTTTTTTTTTAAAGTCATATTCATTTTGCACTTAGCAGGATAAAACCCAGAGGAAATTCACTGGCATCAGTAACTCTGGGGAGAAAACAGCTCCACAAGCCAGGTGGTGCAAAGAAGGTGCAGGGACTGCATTCGCCGTCCCATTCAGTCTGCTGTCTGACCTTCGCACTAGACAAGAGTCTTTCAGACCAGAGCTGTCTCTCTGCTGGTCTCCACATCTTCATGACTGCAGAGGGTGAGGTAGAATGTCAGAAGGACTGCTCACCTGCAATGATTGCTGATAGAAGTGACAAATGGGGTGGTGAGGATGCAGAAGATGATGGGCACATGTCTGATCCGGTAAGGGTGTCCCAGACCTGTTCCAATGTTGTGCTGGAGCAATTAACTTTGCCGTTTTACTGACTCGGGTCAGCTCCACTCCATGCACACACAAAAGCCTGCCTTGCTTGAAAGGGGGACACAGCACATCAACTGATCATGGTGCTTCGCTGCAGGGCAATATTCAGATTGGATTCTGTGCTGGTGCCTGCAGGTATTCGATTCTCAGTGCTGGACAAGCCACCAAAGCTCATTAAAGATGTTACATACGTAAGTGAGGAATTGAGTTTTCAATGAAGAATGCAAATAGCCATGAGCAGCATCTGAAGAGGGTAGATATCTCACTAGACAGCTATTTCGTCCTTGGTGTTTACCACTGATTTTCGCTGGTGTAATTTATCAGCTAAAATAATTATGTTATAAATTGGGCTTGGAACAACTGGATTTAAGTTGTGCACCACATACTTTTTTGTCCTTAGAACTCTCTGCATAACTCTCCTTTTGGTTATTTGCTTGGTTAGCTTATAATGTGCTGTTGCAGCACAGCACACTGGCCTTGTTTGAATCTTATTTTAGCTCTAGTTCTTCTACGGTTTGCAGGTTTCTCTACTTGGATGGGAGGCAGATGAGGCAGCGATCCCTCCCAGAAGTAATGGATCAGTGTTTTGTCCACGTCTGCTTCAGACGGATTTGTGCTCTTTCTCATTTTAGGCGTTGATGGCAAAAATTCTGACTGCTGCACTGAGTCCTGAGGCAGGGGACACATTGAATTTCCATACCTGAGAGTCTTCTCGCTACATAATCCTACATCAGATGCATCTATTTTATTGGAGAGGTGGCTTTCCAGCTCATGCTTGGCATGAATTGCTGCCATTCTGCTTGACACACGCTGATCTGGAGGTAATGTTAGAGCCTGGAGGTAGCCACAGAGATGGCTGATCAGTAAAGGCTGCCCTGCTGAGCAAGCTGTCCACACCTGCTGTGGATTGACTCCTGAGCCTACTCTTGTGGTCCTGACTATGAGCAATATATGGGATTGCAGAACCGTTTATTATAGCAAACACAGAAATGTTAACTTGCCTTAACATAAATTCTTTCCTCCAGAGAAAAATAGCTTTCATCTCCACGTGGACCAGAGTCTCAGAGGTTCACAGAATCCACAAAAGATATTTATCTTCCATGCTACCATGGCAAATCTGAATTTTCTTAAGTGCCTGAGCTGGGAGGACACCACACTGTACTAGGGGGGAGGTAAGTGAAAGCTGGTGACATGGGAGACCCCTGTCATTAGTTCCTGGGCTTCAAGATGCTCTCTTGAGCACAAACAACCCCCAGCCTAGCTGTGCTGTGGGCGCAGAGGGAAGATGAGGCAGCTGCCACTGTCAAACCTGCTGGACCTCATGTCTTCTACCTAGGTGCCTGTGACTGCAGTGAAATGGTCCTGATGGCATCTGTGGCCTGTCTGAGTCCTACCCTGGGCCCATTCAGAGCCAATTTAACCTCTCCAGACCCAGATCTCAGCTGCTCCAGCACCCGCAAAAGCCTGTTGTGCTCCTGCACTTCTGCTTAGCACCACCTCCGGGGCTTCCAGCCCCCCTTGCACTGACTGGTGACATCCCCACCTCCCTGGCTGACCCCAGCTCCAACTCTGCATGCTCTCAGATGTTTTCTCCTGTCATTCACAATTCTTTCCCCAGTTTCTGTCTTCTTCCCAGGCCCCATCCTCTCAGAGACCCGCTGTCCTCTGTTTCGCTCCCAGCCGTGCCCTCACAACTGTTCAAGACAACACTCAGGTTGCCTGCAGTGGTGAGCAAGCACAGCTTCACCCAACGCAGGGGACCCACATGAATTCATACCAGCTGATACCCAGGTGCGTCACTCGCTACCATGCTGGCTTCCATTTGCAGAGCGTCCCGGCGCAGATCTCCACGCGCCCCTGTGACCCGTCAGCTCCTCCCAGCCAACACCGCCTTCACCCTGCACACCCGCCCGGGCCCTTGGGCAGCGCTGCCAGCTCACATGGCCAAGTTGACTCCCCGTCATCATTATTGTCTCTTCTTCCAGTCTATCTTTCCTCATTTCTCCATGTCTCTTTACTGTCCTTGCCTGTATTTCAGTCAACTACCTGTTTAAAGTTAAGCACATGCTTAAATACTCTGCCAGAACAAGCAGATTTTCTTAGGTTTTTTTCCACCCTTTGTTTGATAACTAAGCCTTTCCCCATTTCCCCAGAACGTATGGGGGACATATATCCAGCTCTTCTGTTTAATTTTACACAGTTTAGGTTATATTTTGTATGCAATATTCTACAAGAAGTGACGCTCTCTTCTCCTTTCTCCTCCTTTCTTTCTCTTTAGTTAGGCATATGTGTAAAGAAACCTTTCAATGCTTTCGCAGAGTCCGAATACAGTAAAGTGACACAAAGCATTCTGGATATTGCTATGCAAATGACATGCCAAGAATGTTTAGACTGTACCTTGAAGCAGTAAACAAGTTGATTGTCATGGTGTCATGGTAACTAGAGCTGGATTCGCTTCATACGAATGAGGTCCCAACCTTCGTTTTTATTTGGATTGCTAAAGCAACACAGTGGTCCAAAGCTCATCACCCTGTTGGTGCTCTGGAGAGCCAGAGGTAGGAGGAACAGCCTCATGTATTGGGACACCATTTAAAAGGAAACAACGAGCTACCCTGACTCACAACTTCAGGTCACCAAGTATATTTAAATATACACAGATTTGAGCTGGGGGATGCTGTCAATGCCACAGGGATTTGCCATGTCCCCAGGGCAGCACTGCTCTCCCACTGGTGTAGCTCCAACCTGCAGAGATTATATCTGGGGGTGATGAGGCTTGTGTTTTTAAACCAGTGAACTGCTCCCATCTCAGAGAAGCATGGAAGTGTGCATGCTGGAGAAGGCAGTAGGGCTTTTCTATGAGCAGCATCTCTATGTGGGTCTGTAGGATCAAGACCTCGGAATGCTGATCAGCAGCTTGTATTGTCCACTCGTTAGATGATTTCTTGCCAAGCAGAGCTGTGACCATTTCCCTGCTTTCAACTCAGCCATCCTTCCCTGGGTAGCAGGAAAGCTCTCTGATGCTGCAGGAGAATCACACTGATAACTTAGAGATTACAGAGTAATTTTCCTAACCTTGTAACTCAGGACTGAACTATTCCAGGCTCTGATGAGCCACCTTATTTACCAGAGTAACTGCACTCCTGCAAATTGTTCCTCCAAGCTGAGCCACCACCGGCGTGGCTCCAAACCTCCTCTTCTCCCTCTGCAAAACAGAACACACTTTCACCAACCAAACCAGCAACATGGCCACACTGTTCTGCTCTATAAAATAAACTCACTGGAATTTCCTAGATTGCTGGGGTGACATAAGCTACTACAAAAGTCTCCTTACACAGAACACTGAAAACCCACCTCTTTTTTGAAGAGCCGTGTGCCCAATGGTAAGTGCCAGCTGATCTCAGAGCATGAATTTGCCCTTTTTATGTTGTTTACCACGGCAGATCTGGTCTTTAAGGGGAATCACACAGCTGCTGAGCCAGCCTGGTACAGACCACAGGGCCTAACCCAGCACTCAGCTTGCTTTCTCTCTCTGTTGGTTCTGCAAACCCACACTGGCTCCAAACAACAGAAGCAGAAGAACAATTGTACTGGGTCAAGCCAAAGGTCCATCCTGACTCCAGCAGCGGACAAACACAGAGGTCTAGGGACAACTGCATGAACAGGTCTGTTGCACATGATATTTCTCCCAGGCTCCGTTTGCAGCTCAGGTAACTCCTAAGGTTTTCTATGAAACCTCAATGAAAATATCATCCATGACTCTGTCCTTTGTAGCAGGACCCATGTAACCCTTCAACACCCGTAAACTTTCCAGTCTGCATGGTTTCAACAGAAACTCACTGGTAAGAGTAAGTAAGGATGGGAATCCTCCCACCAGCTGTACAACATACCTTCTGGGCAGACTAGCACCTAGTAGAACAAAATTACATAGTGTACAAAGGTGAAAGAGATGTTTCTTGAGCTGGAGGGTTTCTTTTAACCCTTTGGAAATGCTCTGTTATGATTCCCAGCAGATTCAAAGAGAAGAGAGGCCAGCTAGGCTGGAAAATGCCACTGAGCAGTCCATAAATTCATGACTTGGCTGTCCTTTAAATGTCTAGAGTCACACTGACTCTGACTATGGCTTTGAAAGCACTTGTGGCTGTTGGTGGTTGGTAAGGTCAGGAGCTCGAAGTCTAGAATCAGCTGGAGAGCATGAGACAAACTAAAATATTAATCTCTCAAAGGAAGATAAAATTGCAAAGAACCAAGCCCGAAATAGCTGGCTAAAATGTGAGAGTGTTTTGTTTACTGTTCACTTGTCAAGGAGGCATTCAGAAGCAGGGGGGACAGACGGACTTCTCCAGAGTTGCTGACCATGGCCATGGCACTGCCTGGCAGAGTTCTCTGCAAAGTCCACCAGCACAGGGGCAACCTCCACCCATCTGGGAGGGACGTGAATTGTTTAATCCATGTTGGAAGGTACTTAACAAGGAACCTTTCAAAGCACAGGGCACAGAAGGAGAACCCTTCATAAGCTGAGAAGTGTGTGAGCTACTCAGCAGTGCACCAGACCTCTGACATTGCCCAAGGCCTTGCCTGCTGCCTGTTGGGCTCTTTGTGCTTGTGTTGGCTTCAGATGCTACATCCCCCAGTCCAGTTCCATCTCTTGTTACCTGAGGCCACCTGCAATGATCTGTGTGAACCACTCGCGTGCAGCTCCCTAACTCACAGCATCAGTAAGAGGATGGGAATCCTCCCACCAGCTGTGGGACCTGCACTACAGCTACTTGGCCAGACTCCCTGTCCAGAGTCAGAGCAGAGGAACAAGCCCTGGAAGGCAGGAATTATCTCCTGCTGCAGGACATGTCTCGGCCAGGCCAGATGAATCAGGCCCTGAAAAGCCAGTCTAGAAAGACCAGCTCCAGTGTACATGAATGCACTCTCAATACCATGGGGGTGGCTGGGGAACCTCTGGGGATTTATTGCTCTCTGAACTAACTTCCCTAGCTGGATCAACTGCATTTACCCAGCTGCACTTCAATAACTTGGTTAAGGAAACCAGAAGCAGTGGCACTGAAGAGCTGCTGGGACGGGGTATGGAGGGGAGACAGCTTCAGCTGGGTACAAAAGTGAGGACTGAGTGTATTCCAAACATGGTGAACCAGTTTCATAACTGGTGTCAGCCTATTCAGCAGTGCAAGGCAGACTAGAAAGAGATCCAGAGGAAGAATCTCCACGGCTGTGAAAGGAGCATGTCCACCCCAGTTCTGCCCATCTCCAGGCCAGAGCTATGGGAATGAGCATGTGACCAGTGAATTTTTCTTCCCTGTTGCTCACCGATCACTGCAAAGGTCTCCTTGGAAGTAGTTTGTGGGAAGTATGAGCACCCTACAGGAACAAACCAAACCCTGACCTAGGAGGAAGGTGGAGGGCATTCAGCCTGATCATCTAAACCTATTACTGAGGGCAATTTAAGTGCTGCCAGGGACCAGGTGCCTACATATGATTAACTGACTACAAAATATCTTCTCTGGCACCTTTGATCCTGAAGCCTAGCAAAGCCTCTTACAGTCTTCACAAACTCATCAGTGAGAAGGTCCTTGTTCCTCTGCTTTTCCTGAAGCAGAATTTGGATGCTGCATTATCTGGAGAGTGCAGTTTTGGGTCTTTCAGCACATACAGTAGAAAGATGAA